TCGGTCGGTGGTTGGGATAATCTTCTATACTGTGGTTGTTGTTGAGCCTGAGGATGTTGACCTTGAGATTGTTTAGAATATTGAGGTGCTTGTCTTCGATGTCTGGATGGACCACCACGTGGTTTGGTACCACGATATTCCGGAGGTTGAGCCTCTTGTTGATATTTAGCTTGTACTTGCTGTGCCTGTGCCTGTGCTGCCGCCAAGTGATCGTATCTAAAAAAATTGTGAAATTTTTCTTTTTCTTTCTCTTTTTTTTTTTATTTCTCTTCATATTCCTCGTCTTCCTCTTCTTCTTCCATCAACGACATCAGACAAGAAATGATTTAGTTAGGATTAAAGATCATTACCTGAATTGTTCGGGTATGGCATTGACGTATGGTATTTGTGCCTGGAATTGAAGCAACTGTTTAATCTGAGCTGGTGCATCGTTGTAGGGCCTGTAAGATGGTTGTTGAATCGGTGGTTGAACTGGTGGTGGACGATGTTGCGGAGGGGGTGGTCCTCGTGGGGCAGCTGGTTCGGCATAATGTGCTGGTTCGGGTTGTGCCTGTTGTAATCTCGGTTGTCGATCGTGACTGTACGATTTCCAATTGACTCTTAATCCTTCGTAGAAGAAGAAGAAAGGAAGAAAAAGAAAAAAGAAAAAAAAAATTATTCTTTCAACAATTCCATACCGTACAATCAGATTGTACGGTATTTTCATGTCTCTCCGTTATGATAAATCGAAGATAAAATATTTTTCATACCACTGGGATCGTTATATTGAAGTGACTTCGTGCCAGCCTGATTGGCATCGTATGGTCCTTGAATAATCGATTGGCTATGTCCATCTGTAGGTGGTTGAACGTTGAACGTTGATATGGCACCTTGGGACGGTCCTTGAATTTGAAAATTCGAATGTCCATCGGTAGCGCCTTGGATTTTGAAATCCGAATTGCCATCGGTTGCACCTTGAATCGTAAAATCGCCAGCTCCTAACGATGCTAAAAAAAAAAAAAAAAAGAAAAAAAAAAGAATAAAAAAAAAATAGAAAGTATTACAAGAAGAAAAGGAATATAAATTTTTTAAAAGATAACAAAATGAAGAAAAAGAAAAAAAAAAAAAAAAGATATCTGCAACAATCTATACCGTAAATATTCACTAATGAGGATTGTGAAAAAAAAAAAAAAAAAGAAAAAAGAACCGATATACTAACCACTTTGATCGGTATACTCGATCCCTTTCTCCTCGCTATATCTAAGACCTTGAGAGACCCGATTCCCGTCGCTGGCTCCTTGAATCGTGAATTGTGCCAGGCATACCGGAAGAACGGTAAGCAGGAAAATCTATTGGAATTTAAACAACGATCGATCGATCGATCGATCGATCGAATCGATCGTATTATAGAAACATTAAATATTATACAACAATTTTCTATTACCATTTAAATTTTTAATTTTCAAAATTTATTCTATTTATTCAACTTTATGATATATCTTTAAACAATATCATAGTACGCGTAACGTACTTTGCAATTTTTTACTTTCTTTATAAACACATTATAGATGTTATAAATATACGTATATATATATATAGGTTCTTACGAATACAAATAATCAATTTCAATCGATTATCTAACTATCCGGCTATGTCTGTGTATCTGGATTAAAAGCAAAAAAAAAAAAAAAAAAAGAAAGAAAAAAAAAAGCCGTATCGATTGGCCGATTACGTACGGCTACGGCTATGGGAATTATGTTGCCGACTTGTATGGTCACCTTTCTCGTTTCGTTAGGGAAAGTCTTGAGTGTAAGTCGAGCCAGTTGCGGTTGCGAGTCGACCAACGCCAAACGGAGTTCAATATTTTGCGAGGGAAAATACGAATGCAGAAAAATATTTAAGTTTGCCTATTAATTTTTCCGAACGTTATTAAAAGAAGAAGAAAAAAAAAAAAAAAAAAAAAAAAAAAAGAAAGAAAGAAAGAAGGAACGTGTTCGAACTGGAACGTATGATAGACGTAAGAATTAAATGAGTATGAGGTGTAAGTCAGGGAGAAAAGGGACGACGACAAAATAAAACAAAAATTCCAACGTCTCCCATAAAAAAAAAGAAAAAAAAAAAAGAAAGAAAAACTAAATAAATAAATAAAATAGAATATAGATACGAATGGAAAAGCTAATCGTACGAAATAATACCTATCTGTCGTGTTATTGGATCGTTCTCGACTAGAAAGTGAAATTATAAATTGTCGACGGTGACACGCCTAGCTTATGTTCGTACGATTTAAAAAAGCGGACGTACGTTCAAGAATGTTAAAGATAAGAGGGGGTGTTTGGTAAGGAGAGGGTGATATGATTAAGAGAGGGAACATATTTTTACTTACTTATATATATACGTCTACTTATAAAACACAAATATTCTTGTTCGGTATAACGCGTGAGCTGTGAATATTAATTAGAGAAAGAAACTTTAGTTTATGTTAACGAACCGTAAATAATATTCACGATAATTTTAATTACTTATATCTCGTAAAATATTGAATTTTTTCTCTTTTATCTTCTTAAAAAGTATTACTTAAATATTTATTATTATTATTATTATTATTATTATTATTATTATTATTATTATTATTATTATTATTATTATTATTATTATTACTATTATATAGATATTAAATGAATGTTTAAATAAATATATTAAATTAAATATAATATATAATATATTATATAAATATAATATATTATATTTAATTTAATATATTTATTTAAACATTAAATAAATATATTTAATTATATAAATATATTTAATTTAATATATTTATTTAAACTATACCCTATATAAAATATATTACATTAGAAATATAAATTTTTTTCAATAAATATATTTAATATATAAAATATATAAGTACATATATATATATATATATTTTTTTTTATATAGATACACGTAACAAATATGTCGAAACAAATTTTATATATATATATATATATATATATACATATATATATATATAGATATGTCAAAAAAAAAGAAGGAAAGTAAAAAACATTATTACGTAATATCTTTAGAATTCATTAGTTGCATTCGCACGGAAACATTGAAAAATGTGACGTGGTATCAATTAAAGGAACGGTATTTATACCGGAGAATTTTTTGTCGAATCTAATTTAGTGACATACGTACGCACACATAAAAGCGCGCGTACACTCATACATACACACACATACATACCGTAAGGAAACAGTGACCCTTCTCTCTCTCTTTATCTCTTTCTCTTTCTCTCTTTCTCTCTCTGTCTATTTTTGCACAAACGAGTCGTGTCGTAATGCAATTTCATCGAGATTAGAAACACGCGAGAGGAGTCTTTCCATAAGACGTAAACGTAAGTGCATAAATAGTATCTAACGTTTAAATATATATATATATATATATATACACGCATACATGGCAAATCGATATTTATCAATTTTTTCTAACTATTATTACTACTCTATGAAATTTGTTAGAGAATGATTTTTGCACGTGAAGAAAAAAATGAAGAAAAAAGAAAGAAAAAGAAAATCGAAAGAAGAAGAAGAAGAAGAAGAACAAAAAGAAATACATTTTCTTTAGAAAATTAATTACAAATAATTTATACGACTCACTCGTTATATCTACACATGCACATCCACATACATATACATATATATATATATATATAATAATTATTCAATATATATATATATATATATAATTGTTCAATTATTATAATAATTGCAAAGAACGTGTAAATTTATTGACAAGGGCGGTGGGGGGCGGGGGGAGGAGGGCGAGCGGGGAAAAATGGAAACGATTATAATAAAATCATGGATTTCTCTCGTTATTCGAACGAACGAAATCAATTTGAATAAAAGTTAAATAAGAAAAACATAAATTAGGATCATTGACCGCCGGAGGAAATAAGGGAGTGGGAAGGAAGAAGAGAAATAGAATTAAATACGATAGTTTCATGATAGGAAGGAAGAATCAAATTTCGAGATAATAAATGATAATTATATCACTTACGTGAAATTTCATGGTGCGAGATGAAAGCGGCCTAAGCTGTCTGGTCGATGCGCTCAAGGGTGGAGCGTTTCTGAGACGGGCGCGCGGTCACCAGAAGAACTTTATAGGCGGGCGAATGTAAAAGGAGGCCCCCCGTAGCTTAGACGGGGGATGTGACTGACTTACTCACTGACTCTCCTCCTCCAACCTTCATCACCATCTCCATCTCTCTTTCTTGCCATTTTATCGGATACGCGACTTCTAACGGATCGGGATATCGATTACGATTTCCTGCCTCGATGTCCGGCGACTAGCGTTCGAGTGTTTCTATAGAAAGAAAGAAAAAAAGAGAAAGAAAAAAAAAAAAAAAAAAAGAAGAAGTAACGAACGTATTGGCTCTCTCTTTCTCTCTCACACACACACTCTCTTTCTCTCTTTTTGGTTTTTGTTTCTTTTTTTGGTTTTTTCTTTTCTTTTTCTTTTTTGTTTTTCTTTTTTTTTTTTTTTTTTTCCCCTTATCCTTTTACTCTCTCCCAATGTAATCACGGAACGGCAAGCGAAACTTTCTTCCGTGAATTTCAAATGAATTAACAAATGTTTATTAATTCGATCACGATAACAACAAAGAAAAGAGAGAAAAGGGAAAAATGAATGAACGAATGAACGGAATGAATAAGTGCAAGAAGAAGCAATGATTCGATGGAGTATGTTTATTTTGTGATTATTATACTTTTCTTTTTCTTTTTTTTTTTTTTTTTTTGTTTTTTATTTTTTTTTTCTTTTCTGTTTTTTCTTCCTCAAGAAAAGAATTTTCTCTTACGCGAAATCGATTATAGTATTTAACGTTTTGTCGATTTTACAAATTTCACGTTCAATTATGTGAAATGCAAAGAACGAAAGGCACGCGTACTTTTTGTCCTTTCTTTTTCTACTTTTTTCTTTTTCTCTTTTTTTTATTTTTTTTATTTGCTCTTTTTTTTTTTTTTTTTTCTTTTCTTTTCTTGCAAAAACACACAAAGACACTCTTTCTTCCGTGGAAGTGAATTCGTCGAATGACTTTGTTGTCGTTTTTTAAAAATGAATGTTTAATTAAATAAAAAATGAAAAAAAGAAGAAGGAGAAGGAGAAAGAAAGAAAGAAAGAAAGAAAGAAATTGTTTCGCATGTGCATTGAATTATTTCGCAATTGTATACACTTACGAGAGAGAGAGAGAAAGAGAGAGTTAAAAAAAAACAAAAACAAAAGAAAAGAAACAGGAAAAAAAAATTGTTCCGTTTCTATTCTTTTCTTTTCTTTTCTTTTTTTTTTCCTCCCCATCTCTCTCCTCTTTTTTTTCCTTCCTTTTTCTTCTATCACACGTACCATTCCGTTTTATTTTTCTACTTTATAAAATTGTCTTACAATTAGACGCGTTTGTTACCTTTTTTAATGGTGACTCGTTAAAGAGACTCTTATGCGACATAGTTGCACACGGTGAAAGTTTCGTCGATTCAGTTCGAAAGTTTCCGTTCTAAGGTAATCGCATTTTACGATTTGCGCTCGTAATAATATTTCAAGAGAAACAAAAAAAAAAAATAAAAAGGAAAGAGAGAAAGGAAGAAAGGAAGGAAAGAAAGTAATAGAGAGAGAGAGAGAGGAAGAGAGAAAATAAAAAAAGAAATAGAACAAAGAGAGAATAAATATTTTTTGGGGATAGAATAGAATTTTTTTTTTTTTTTTTTTTTTTTTAATATAGATTCACGATTCGATTTTTTTTCCTCTTTTTCTTTTTTTAATACGAAACACGATAACTCTTAGAGAGAAAGAGATATATATATATATATATACGTGGGAGTAAGGAACGTGCAACTGGAAAGCGCATCATCGTGGAATGTCACGTAAGCAAAAGCGAGTTTTTCCATAGGATTCAAAGGTTACGATGCAACGATGCACAAGATGATGCATCCTACTGTGATGTCTTTTAACTGCGCATAGTCCAAGTTACACCGACATTGAATACAATTTTACGTAAGATTCACTATCGTGAAAGTATTCCCTCATTGATTTCTCCCGTGTGAACAAAAAAAATTTTTTCCTTTTTTTCTTTGCGTGTGATCATAAACTTTTAACCAATTAAAATTAAAAACTGAAATATATATGTATATGTAGAGAAAGAGAGAAAGAGAGAGAGAGAGAGAGAGAGAGAGAGAGAGAGAGAAATGGAGAGAGATGGAGACAGGAAGAGATAAAGAGAGTGAAAAAAAGACGATAATTAATTTTATTTGTCTTTTCTTCTTCGACGATTTCTAAAATCCAAAATTTTTTTCTTCGAAAAGAAAAATGAATAATAATGAAAATGAAAGAAATGAGAAAAAAAAGAAAAAAGAACGATAATTAATTTTTCTCTCTTTTCGATATTATTCTTTTTTTAATGTCCAAATGTTTAATGTCCAATTGTATGATTTATAAGAATACACAAAGAACAAAAAAAAAAAAAAAAGAAAAAAAAAAGCAATTGAAGGGGACATTGAAGAGGACATTTAATTTTTATTTCTTTTTTTTTCCCTTCCCCTCTTTTTTCATTTATTTATTCTCCTTTTTTTTCTTCTTTTTTTTTTTACAATATCTATCAAATTCATAAATTGTCGTCGACGAGGATTAAGAAGTCGAATTTGTTGATTGAAAAAAATTTGTTTCTTTTAAATTAAAAAATAAAGGGAAAATAATAATAATAAAAAAGTTAACGAAAGAAAAATAATGTTAAAAGAAGAAAAAAAAATAGAAAAAAGAAGTAAAAAAAAAAAAAAAAAAGAAAATTGATAAAAAAAGAAAAGAAAACGGAAAGGTCAGAGTTAACGGGGATTACGAGTTTTAATAAAATTCTAAAATAAAACAATCGAAAAGCTTATATCATTGACAAATTACATTTTTTCCATTGTATTATGAATGCTTACAAACAAAGGCACTCGGTATCTATACGTGTGTACATAATGTAACTAGCCGACACCAACAAATTATTGACCAAGAGAGGTGAGGAGAAGGAGGAGGTGATGGTGGTGGAGTAGGTGGAGGAGAGCGAGGAGCAGAACTGCACAAAAGAGTCGAGCAAGGAGAACAGTAAAAACGAAAGTGGTTTAGAATTGTATGTGGAAACGATTACGAGCACTGTTTGAAGGAACACATTATATACTCTTGTGGACTTGCGGAACCATGAAGGCCACACGAAAGTAGAACGATTAACATAATTTGTTCGTTTTCTTATCACGAAGAAATGCTATCCATTTATCTATCTGTCTATCTATCAATCTATCTATCTATCTATCTAGAACTCCATCTTTTTATTTCCTCTTTTTCAACAATTTTTTCCCTTTCTTTTTTGCATTTTCTTTTTTCTTCCTCTTATTTTTTTTTTCTTTTATTTTTTTTTTCATCATTGTAAAATAAAAAAAAGAAAAGAAACAAACAAAACATTTCTCGAAAAATATTCGAGAACGAATAATCTAAGAGACGCGAGCGTGACTTTGATTAATTAAATACGTAGTCGTGATAAAAGTGTAGGTAGAATTACGAAAATAAAAAAAAAAAAAAAAAAGAACAAAAAGAAGAAAAAAGAAAATAGACAAGGGAAAAAGAAAGGTCGACTATTTATCAGATATTTAATTGATGCTCTTGTAACGTCGGATCAACGTGTTTTCTGTGAAAGTATGGAAAAAAGGAGAACGGTGTTCATCGTCGCAAAGACGAACAGCGGAAATAATTCTTTTATTTCATTTTCTTTTTCTATTTTTTTTTTCTTTTTTTTTTTTTTTTTTTTTTATGTTTGTGTGCGTACATACGTGCGTGCGTGTGTGTATGTGTGTGTGTGTCTCTGTGGATTTCGTTTTCTATTAAAAAAAAGAAAGGTAGAAAGAAAGAAACAAGAACGAAGAACAATGGGTATTGTCCTTCGATCGCTACGAGAAATGATGTTAAAGATTAAGAAAATAATGATCTAACGATCGATATGATCGAACGATTTTTCAACGTTGTCATTAAATTAATTATAATATAATATTACATTTAAAAAAAAAATATATATATATTATAATACGTTTAACGTAACGAGTTAATCGAATTAAAAGAATTAAAAGAATTGTCGTCAATGACGTTGACTATCGTCGATCGATTTAACATCCTCGATCTCATCGACATTGTCGTCTTTCATGAAATAAATCTTACTCTTGTAATAATACGGTCCTTTCGAATCGTCCGGTATCGGTTTAGGAATGAACAACGTTTTTGGCCTGTAAGTTATTCTGTTAGCTATGACATCATAGGGTATCTGAGATTGGTAATGTAGCAACTGTTGTATCTCTTGCGGCATGTTCTTGTCTATGACCAATTTTGGTACCGGTTGAACGGGCATAGTTTCGACCGGTACAGTTATACCGATTATTTGTTGGGATTGTTGAGAATTCTGATTTTCCTGCGATCGTGAATGATGATGATGATGATGATGATCATGATGATCATGATGATGCTGTTCGTTTTGACGTTGATCCTGATCCTCCTTATAATTGATACTACCTTGTGGCTTGGCCATTCGTTCGCCGTAATAAAAATCCGTAGAAGCGGTTCTCGTGTCATCGACAGTTTGATATTTTCCAATTGGTGATTCGTATTGACTCGATTGAGAAATATCAGAACGAGAATTTGCCTGTTCAAACGATAAACCCTGCTGATGGATAAAAGCTGATGGATCGACGTAAGGACGCTGTGGTTCATACGTCTGTAATATCAATTCCTTTATATGCGTTGGTACAGAAGCATAAGATTTGTATTCTGGTTGATTTGGTACAACGTTTGATAACGGTGATGGTTGTTGATGAGATTGAATCAAACGTTGCTGATGCTGTACTCCTGAAGTTTGCGGTTGAGCTATCGCTGTCTCGGCTCGTTGCCCACGCTGAGGATTCTCTAAGTTAGAGCGTTGCTGATTATACGGCACGTAGAATTTCCAGTTCACTTTCGTACCTTGAAAGTCAGGAAATAATAATTCAAAATTCATATATATATATAAATATATATATATATATATATACATGTATGCATTTAGAATTATTAATTTTTATGATTATAAATATTTTAATCACATATATATATATATATATATATATATATATATTAAATATCATAAAAATATAGAAATATGAAAATGATACATCGTTTATACCGTTATCATTTTCGATTTCATTATTCAAAGTTTTGTCAGATAATTTTAATTTTAATTCACTTTTCAAAAATTCTCTTTTGCAAATAATTTCAAATATCAGAAAAACTTTGCCAAATAATTCAGAAATTAAGTATCGATGAATAAGATTTTGTTTATTACAATTATAGAAATAACGAACGATTGAGGAATTTTTATTCGTATGACGATGAAATCATTGATAAAAAAAAAAAAAGAGAGAAAGAGAAAGGAAAAGAAGAAATTAACGAACCATCAGGATCGTCGTATCTGATTTGAGCTTGTTGAGATGTACGAGCAAGGCGAGTCGGGTTCTCCGTTTGAGCCAACAGAGTGCTGGCCAAGGTCAAAAGAAGTGCCTGAAGAAAGAAAAGAAAAAAGAAAATTAAAGAAAAAAGGAAAATAAAGAAAAACAATATAAAAAAATGATGAAAAAAACGAACAACTATAAATATATATATATATATATGCATTTAATTATACCGATTAAATTTTCGATTCGACACGAGTCGAAACGCTGAGTCTGTATTACAAAAAAAAAAAAAAAAGAAAAAAGAAAAAAGAAAATAGAAGAAGAAGAAAGAAAACCAAACCAATCACGAGAGAAAATAATTTTTAATGAAAAATCTACAACGTACAAAATGAAGATAAAAATGGAAAGGAGTAAGAAAAAGAAAAAAAACAAAAAAAAAAAAAAAAAAAAAAAAAAAAAAGAAAAAAAGAAAGAAAAACATTTCGAAACATTTTAATCGAATAAAACGATATAATACGATATAATATAAAATGATTAACAACACTCACGCTTAATAATAACATGATCTTGATCACTTTTACGGGATTAATATGTAATTCGTATTTATCGTAATTATTCGTATTTATAAAAAAAAAAAAAAAAAAAAAAAGAAGAAAAAAAGAAAGGAAACAAGTAAATAAAATAAAATGATTATAACCAATTGAATAATTAAATGACCAAACAATTAAACAAATAATTTAAGTAAAGTGAAAAGGTATAGTGAGATGCGCGAGAGTGGATGAAACGGTTCGAGTAAACGCGAAGGAATCAACCGGTCTACGAAGACTCCGACTTCTATATAGTCTCGCTGGGATGGTATATAGAGGACCGATGTAATTACCCGTAGCAGACCAGCCTGCCACCGGTTGCCTACTTTTAAAGTAATTCCACCTTAGGAGAGAGAGAGAGAGAGAGAGAGAGAGAAATAGAATGAAAGAAAAAAAGGGAGAGATAGAGAGAGAGAGAGAAAACCCCCTCAAGGATATTATCGGAGTTGAAGAATGCGCGACTCTGGCGTAACCATATTATAAAATCCCACTAGGAAGCTGCCCTCCTTCGTTAACACGCTCATAGATTTGATCTCTCAACAACAATGGTATTAGTAAAAATTACTTTTGGTAGAAGAGAGAGAGAGAGAGAGAGAGAGAGAGAGAGAGAGAGAGAGAATTATGGAAACGATAATATTACAAATTTATCGGTTTTTCGAGAAATCCGTCCGGTGAAATCGCCTAACGAGATCCTCGAAATGTTCGACAGAGAGAGAGAGAGAGAGAGAGAGAGAGAGAGAGAGAGAGAGAGAGAGAGAGAGGGAGAGGGAGAGGGTGAAGGAGGGAGGGAGGGAGGAAGGGAGAGAGAGAGGAGGAAGAAAGAAAGGAGCTGAGAGAGAGACAGACAGACAGATAGAGGCAGAGAGAGAGAGAGAGAGAGAGAGAGAGAGAGAGTGAAATTACACAAGAGACATTCGTTAGATCTTTACAAAGATTCACGGAGTTCTTTTTATCTTTTAAAAATGTATCTATTTATTGAGTTTGAATGAATCGTTCAATGTCTATACTTTCAACGACAATCGTATGCTTTGACATACAACAGTTTCATTCATGATTCATATTCATTCTGATATAGAAAGTGGAAAGAAAAAGTGGGATCAATTGATCGGATTCCTTTCTTTTTTTTATTTTTGTTTTTTCTTTCTTACTCATTAAATATCATTAACACCGTAAATGATAATGGACATTTAATTCGATTTAAAACTTATCAATGAGATCTATCAAATATGCAAATTTTTATAATAATAATAATAAAAAAAAAAAAAAAAAAAAAAACTTCATGATAAACGAAATTTTATTATACTTTTCTCAATTCTCAATTATACTTCATTAATTGAACAAACAAAATCGTATATATTTATAATGATTATACAGTAATAATATTATTAAATAAAAATTAATCTTTAACTAATAAGATTAACGTTGAAATAATTTTCAATTGTTTCACATTGAACACCTCTTTTTAATATGATTTTCATGTATATATAATATTAGATCAAGGAATTAACGTGTACGTGATTTTTACACGATGGCGAAATGTTGATTAGGAAAGAGGTGTGTCTGATTTCCATCCATAATGGTACCTAATTATCGATAATTATATTCGCAAACTGTATTTAAACTTTAACCATTATGCGTCATTATACGGAAACGCGTTTGAATGAGTTCGACAGGAGGCATCGTAAAGATTTTGAAATCTCCTTCATTTTCTCTGTTTTTTTTCTTCTTCTTCTTCTTCTTCTTCTTTTTCTTCTTCTTTTTCTCTTTTCTTTTTTTTTTTTTCTTTTCTTTTATATTTATTTATTTTCTTTCATTTTTTCCTTTTATCTCTCTTATTACACCACGTCATCCCCCGTCCCCCATTGCTTCTCATCAATCTTTTCAATCTAACATTGTATATTTCATAATCAACGAGATTAAAGAAAGAAGATTTCATTATAATACTCGATCTCGAACAATATTACATTGTCTATCAATCGATTGTATATTTTTCTTTTTTTTTTATTATTATTATTATTATTATTATTATTATTATTATTATTTAGATTGATACGTCAATCTAAGTAATAGATTAATTTGAGAACTTTAAAAAAAAAATATTTGGTCTCATTAGGTACGAAGTGTACATAAGTGCAATTATTATTATTATTATCTTATATCTATGTATGTATATATGTATATAGATATATATACACATATATATATACAAATATTTACTAATCGTATCGACGATGATTTCTCTCTCTCTCCCCCTCTCTCTCTCTCTCTCTCTCTCTCGCTCTCTTTCTATGTCTATCAATAATAATTTTAAATAATTAATTGAAATAAATATTACTTAACATATATTAATAAAACGAGAAGTGCGTAGTTGCTATTGAAATCGGACGTAATAATCATATTTCATGGAAACGATTTCTTTATTCCTTATCTCAGGGCACGTTCGAATTCATGACGCAAATTCTTCCTTTCTCCATATGTACATACGATATATGTACTTCCGCTTTTTTTTTTGTTCGACAGAAAAAGAGAGAGAGAGAGAGAGAGGGAAAGAGAGAGGGAGAGAGAGAGAGAGATAATTTAAAAGTCCTAACGAAATAATTCTTTTGTATCACGCGATTATTCCCCGAATAATAATAATAATAATAATAATAATAATAATAATAATAATAATAATAATAATAATAATAATAATAATAATAATAATAATATAATAATAGTAATAATAATAATCGTCGATCGTGAAAAGTCGATTTATTTTATGATATGTGAACGCCCCTTAATGTTCATCGTCGAAGTAGTGTAACAGCCTTTATGATCAGACACAAAGTACATTATCATAATTGCTGACGAAAATCGGTCACTTATCGATTCATATATGAGTGAACGAATTTCAAGTTTTAATAATAAAAAAAGAAAAAAAAAAGAAAGAGAAAAAAGGAAAAAGAGAAAATATAAAAATAAAAAAATAAATAAAAAACCAAGTATAAATCAAATAAGAAATTCGAGAGAATAAAATTAGAAAGGAGGGTTAGAGAAACCATTGCGATTTATTAATGCGTTCTGGCTCCTGCGTAAAGGATGCTGCGGGTGCGGCCATGAACTTTCACGCTAGACCGAGCACACGACGGTATCAAGAGTATAAATCTCTGAAGCATTCATTTTTCTTTTTTTTTTTTTTTTTTTCCTTTCTTTCAACGGTTATTGTGGAAAGCCACGAATCCGCATTTTTATGAAAGCCGTCGGATATCACGGAAATGTATATTTCCGATAGATCCGCATGAAATTGTTCCGCCGAAAGAGAAAAAGGAATATTTAACGAGAGAACGTACGGGTGAAAGTCGATTGTGAGTATATCCCACGTGGCACGGAGTAAAGAACATGATTTAGCATGTTATTCCATGCTGAAAATATTGCGAGCAATAACTTGGTATCCTCGTGAAAAGTACGAGAGGATAGATACGATTTTTTCTTTCTTTTTCTTTTCTTTTTTTTTTCTTTTTTTTTTTTCAATTCGTCGAGTTTACATCGTATCATCGTAAATCCATCGAAAAATTTCATCATTATCGCATAATATATTTGAGAATACGTTGCATTGGATTAATTTTAAAATATCGCGCGTAACTGTCCGCTTAATCGAGATCACCGATTTCATCACGATTTGTGATACGCCATACGTAGAGAATGTATTTGCGCAAACGTTCTATTTCGAGATATACCGTATATGAAAGGTGGAAAGTACATTGCTCACTTCTGCGAATCAATTCTATGCGTCATTGAAAAATATTCGATAGATCCCTATATTACCCATGCATGATAAAGATAAGAGAAATTTCTACTTTATCGATCGTAGGAAATAAAAAAAATAAAAGGCATTGTTTTATCATACGTCGGTAATAAAGGGAAAAAAACTGATCGTTCCTTTGTTACCGATGGTGAAAAAACGCGATTGCAAAATACATCTGATGCATCTCGGTAGATCGTCGTAGGGGCACGAGATGCAAAGTGCAAATAAGCAAACACGCGAGGGCGAACATCAAGGTCTTCCCGTGGTACCAGATCCGCCATATCTCTCATATAAAACGACGAGTTCACCTATCCCGCGATCATTCCTATTCTTCTCTCCTTCCTTCAAAGTCTCAAGATGTTCGTTGTTCGAATTTCACTCGTAAGTTACTTCCTATTGTATATTACGTACTAATAATAATAATAAGAAGAACAAGAAGAAGAAAAGAAAATTGAAAAAAGAAAACAGCATTATAATTTCATTAACATTTTTTGTTTATATCTTAAAAAAAAAAAAAATGAGAAATATATTTGTTCTTTACTTGTTCAGGTATCATTGATATACTTTGTCGTACTGACAAGATGTCAGTATCAACAGGAACCCCAACAAGCAGCGATCTTAAGCGACACAAGATATCTAGCAGGCGATGGTACTTTCGGTTCAGCTTATACACAAGAAGATGGAGTCGAGTTTAAAGAAGAAAGTGACATTAATGGTGATCGACGTGGCTCTTATTCTTACGTAGATCCAACCGGACAAAGGCGTACAGTGACATACACAGCCGGAAAGAATGGATTTCAGGTAGAAGATAATAACGAAATAATGATCGAGTTAAAACATTTATGATACAATTTGAAATTAATTATTGCATTATTATTTTGGATAGGCAACTGGTGATCACATTCCCGTACCACCACCACAAATACCACCGCAACCGGAGTACGTGCCATTACCACAGTATAATCCTCCTGACTATAAACCACCAGCCGCTTATAGGACTCCAGTACCATCCCCACCAGTATACAAGAGTTCAAATCCAGCGCAGTATCAAACACGAACCGAACCGGAATATGAGCCACGAGCCGTCTATCAGCCTCAGTCTCAGCCCCAATCCCAACCCCAATCCCAACCCCAACCCCAATATCAATATCGTCCACAGACACGATACACGTCACCGGATGTCCAATCTATACCCTCGTTTAACCCTCGACCACAGTATCAACCTACACAAGGAGCACCCATTCAAAGATACAACGAAATTACAACGCCACCGCCCCACAGATTCTATCCACCGGGAAAGCTTAATTTCAATAGGACACCCGATGGATTTTCTTATTCCTTCAGTAAGAGTTAAGATTAAATATCGATTAACTTTATATACGATAATACTTTTTCATTAAAAAAAAAAAAAAAAAAAAAAAAAAAAAATACAGGATATTAAAGGTATTATTGTACGATTAATAAGTCATAAAATGTCGATCGATAAGTTAGTAAGATAATACTAAACGATTACTTTTCCATGAATTTTCAATTCGATTAAGACAAATTTAGATAATATTTATATAAAAAAAAAAATCAACGAAATCGATATGCATATATATATATATATATATATATGTATATGCCTTTCTTGCGTTATTGTGATCATTGTCGACGAATAAAAATATCGAATAATAATTTCGAAGATTTGCTTCTTCTTTTTTTTTCTTTTTTTTTTTTTATCTTTTTCTTTTTTCTTTCTTTTTCCTTACAACGAAAACCACACCCGTATCTATGGATTACCATTCTTCTCATCGGGTCAGGCTCACTTTCATCCCGTAACCTTTTAAGCCGAACGATTTCGTAACGTATTAAATCATTCCTGGGAACTATCTTGATACTAAACGTGCTTATGTATATTAGCTCAACGGCAAACAACGACGACGCTCACGTTTACGATCGGGAATATCACGAGTTTGCCTGGCATTATTGGAACCAAACGTTATTAACCAAATCACATGGTACAGATAAATGGATAGAACAGAGAAAATAGAAATCAATGTTAGATCTTATAATATGTTAGATCTGTGAAAAATATTAAATTGAAATGATTTTTCAATTTCGTACGTGATCAAAACTAAACGATTCTAATTTTATAAATGTACTATCTAATTTCACATGTTACAATTAGATCATACAGAGATCATATATATATATATATATATATATATATATATACATATAGACACCGTTAGAGTAAAGCTCGCGGAAGAAAAGTGAGAAATCATTTGTCACATTAGAACAGACATTGTCTAACATTGTCTAATGACAATACATTGATATCAGATGATCGAGAAGTGTGAATGTGTTTTACTTGTGATGACGTCAAGAGGTCGGAAAAATGTATTGATATACTTGTGACAGGGGTGCGGCTTGCTTAGTTCACCGCAAGGTGAACTACCTCCTTTCAGAAACAGGAACTTGGTAGTCTCTCTCAGTTAGGTGGGCCGTAAAAGAAATGCATACCATAACACACACACACACACACACACACACACACATACACACATACATAGACACATACACACAGACGTTAGTTATTTCGTTGTCACGTTGATCGTCGGACTTCTTTCTCTTTCTTTCCTTTTGTCATTTTTCTTTTTATCCTTTTTATTCTTTTTACCATTAGCTCTTACTTTTCTCGAATCTTTTCCCTTTTCCCTTTTTTTTTTTGGTTTTTTTTTTTTTTTTTTACATCCTTTGTCCTTCGAACACGCGAAGAACAAGCACGACTGAAAAATAACGAAATAAATTAAAAAAACGTATGACAGACAGATTGAAAATTTTCCTAATTACTTTTTGCTCGCGTTTTATTTATAAAGGTATATTTGATTATAGTATACATTTCGTTTCATCGATTAATGGCAGTAATAATTATGACCTGATTTCTGCTTAGCTGTTTGCGCGCGTGACATCGACGGTATATATATATATATATATAAAAACAAAAAAAAAAACAAAACAAAAAAAAAATAAAAAAAAAAGAATACTTCTAAAACAGCTCCTTAATTTAAGAGACAATAACGAAAATATTAATTCGCTTATCTCCGTGTAATATTGAGTAAAAGTAATGGTAAAAAATGAATGAATGAACAAGTAAATAATAATAATAATAATAATAATAATAAAAAAAAAGAAAAAGAAAAGAAAAAAAGAAAAAAGAGGAAAAAGAAACAACAAAAGAGAAAAAAAGAATAATCATAGAGAGGTAGAGAGAGAGAGAGAGAGAGGAAACACTTCCAAAGAAATTAGATAAGTTTTATGTAAAATTTTTTAAACGACGCTTTGTCTGTGCCTCCCCCAAACACGCGAACTAAAAGTAGATTAAAAGTTTTCGATAAAAAGGCACTATATATATATATATATATACGTAAATATACATAAATATATATGTATACGTGTATACTTCTATGTATCTGACGAATCAAATTCAGAACAATTTTCAATTTTCAATTTTCAATTTTCAATTTTCTATTTTCCTTTATAATCTTCTTTCTTCTTCTTCTTCTTCTTCTTCTTTTTCTTATTTTTTTTTTTTTCTATGTAATTTCAAGGCATCAATGAAATATATTTGTAATATATATATGTATATATATATATATATATATATTTCTTTTTTTTTCTTTTTT